ACTGCTGAAAAGTCTCTTCCTCAGCACTAAATTTTATGTTATTAATGTTGCAGAGCTACCTAGCACACACTGTACTTTCCATGTCCACACAGTGGTACCTTGGCCAGCTGGACAGTGCCAGCTCTGTTGCAGCAGAGGCAGTCACTGGAGTAAATCAGGTCTCAAATAGCCTTCCCTCTCCGTGGTTACTGAAAACTGTATCCACTGACTGAAAAAAGGGGAAAAACCTTGCAGTCAAAACCCAGTGCCTGCAGTTGTGCTGATTCTTGAGGTCATTGGTACTGTGCCACAGCCCAAGGCCAGGCAAAGAGCAAAGGGCTCACCCCCAGGGTGTCGCATGCAGCCCCTGTAAACAGGGGTGGGGAGACTGAGGTAGGCAATCATCGGGATTGTGCAAGACAGAGATAAGCCAGTGAGCAACCTCTTGCCAAAACAAAGCACAAAATAACAGCTTTTAGTAGAAATGCATGGGATATACCTTTTCCTTTTGGCAGGCTTGTCCTCATGCTAAAAATTCAGGCGGTTTCTGTTTCACTTCTTCCTCCAGCACTCTGCCAGGCGAGCTGGTGGTGCAGCAAAGCTTCACTGTGTACTGGTGTGGTAAAGGTGCTGGGAAGTGAAGAGTTCCTTTGCTGGGATGAGTATTTGTGCTGAGGCCTTGCAGCCTTTGCAGGTTGATGCAGACATGATAGGTAGAAGAGAGTTTTGTAGGCTGCTCCCCAGCAAGCTGTGGAATCTCAGAGTCTGAGAGCATTCTGCCCCTGAGTAGTCTGTGTGTAAATACAGGTTTTCTAGGACTTTAATCCAGCAGGGCTGTCCTCTGCTGTCAGGTTTGGGCTTTTGGGCTGATGACCAAGGGTTGTCACCTCCAAGACCACATCTGGAAAAAGGAATTCCTGCTGCCTCGCCGGGTTCCCCTCTCTGCCATTACCTGCATTGGGTCAATCAATCATGGCTTAAAACATGTTTTAAGGAGGAAAAATGAATTATCTGGGACATCTGTCTTCACAAAGGACTTTCCAAACTAGCTACCTCCTAAATATAAGTTTCAGGGAATCTTTCAAAGCCTAATTCTGATCTCTGCTGAGAAATCTCAAACTGTGTAAGCGTTGGGACATGAAGACTGCCGTTAAATCCATACAATGTGATTCTTCACATGGAATTCTCTATTCTTTTATAAATATAAGTATGATTGCAAAACCTGTTTTGTTTTTTTTTTTTCTTTTTCAGCTCCCTAAGATTTATTCCATTTTTGTAACAAATTTGGTGCAATTTGCTTTTTTCTTTTAATCTAAGCTGTTGGGGCTAATCATCATCAACTGCCTTGGAAATTGCTAGGAAAACCTGCCACCATTTTGCCAAAGTGTAAACAGGCACTTGGGCTCTTCTAGAAAAAAGGATTGGAGCACCCTGGAAAACTATGGATGTAAATAGATTTTAGCTCATGGCTGGCGAAACCAACAGAGATTTGTGTAAGATTGAATCCCTGCAGGGAGTGAACTTCTCTGAAGGCTTATATTTTGTTTTCAAGTTGGATAAGATAAATAATTGGATAAGAATTATAAACCAGGATTCAAGTTTGTTATACTAGTCAGCTAAATACTTTCCTTATTTTATTTTAGTATGTGCCATTGCTCTAGACTTTGATGGGAGCCTAATAGAGGAAGCACAAAGAAGAATATAGAAAAATGGAGCTTCTTAACCTCTGCTTTTCATCCTAATTATAATGTTCTTACAGTAATATTCTAATGATTATACTCTATATGGTACTTTATCAGATGAAACCTGACAGGGGAAGCTGCTCTCTGTGGGAAATCTTTTCTGAAGCTTAAAAGAAAGAGAAATAATTGAGGTGGATAGCAGAATTCATGCTGGATTAGATTTTTCTCTTGTTACCCAAATCTGTCAACCAAATGGTGTTTCCTGAGGTTTCTCTTTTTTTGACTGGTAGAACCGGGACAAATTAAGGAAATTAAGGCCACTTGTCTTTAATATGTAGCTTATGTACTATAAAAGTTTGTCAGCTCACATTTGTGGTAGTTTAATTTTGGGGTTTTTTTTCAGTTAAAGAGAATATATTTGACACTCATATTGGAAACAAGGGCAATCACTGTGGTGCAGTCTGTCAGAGCTTTACCTTATGATGTTTCCATCTGTTACTGCTGTTCTGCTCAGAGAGGGCAGCAAAGGATTGCAGATCTTTTGGAATCCAAAAGGAGCTCAGCTCTGAGATGAAATACTGAGGAAAAAGGTATCTTTTTAATATACAAAGTCTGAAAGGAGAACTAGGGGAGGCATTCAGATCATTGCTGCTCAAACATACTTGAGCTTTTTGTCCTTTAAGGTGTGGGTGTATGCAATTAGTGGAGATTCTGATAAAAGAAGCACTTAATCACTTTGAGCTAGGCATTACCTGATAGGTGTGGAGTCCCTGCAGAAACACAATGAACTGCTGAGGATTCATCCTCAACTGGAATATTGTGTGACTCATTTGGCATGAAGACAAATGCTGTATATTTAGACATATAATGAACAAAACACTGAAATTAATTTGTGTCACAGTGAGATTAATGACTGTTGTGATATTAGTTATTTTCATTAGACCTCAAGACTTTCAGACTGTTACAAGTCTGATTGTTTCTTTTCAAGATGCACAGATACAATCAGGGGCTACATGACATGATTTGGACACTGTCCCTTTTGCCTGAAGACAGGAGTGTATTTCCCAGGTAACCCCTCAGAATTATGCAAATTGAGAAATTTATTAAATGACTGATTTGTCACCAATCTGTGGACTTAGCAATGATTCTTTATCATCCTTTCGATGCCTTGGCTCTCACTGCTAAGAGTAAGAAGTTCAGTTAGCACAAAAAAAAGTGAAAAGACAATTTATTCCTGCCCAGAAGTTCAGTGCAGTGCTCCTGCAGCCAGTGTCTTACCAGCTAGAGATGGTCCCAAAGGTGCAAAAGGTAAACAGGTACAGGACCATGACCAATACTGTAATTTTGACACTCCTTATCATCCCTTTACTCTTGTTTCATGCCTCCTTCAATCTTTCATTTTGTCTTTTTACTTCTCTCATTTTCTTCTGCCCCACTAGCCTTTTGTAGGCTCTGCACAATTTCAGGAAGGTGAACATGCTTTCTGCATTTATAATGCTACTCTAGATATTTGGCTTTTAATAAATAAAAAAATAATATTGTACATTTTCACAGCAGCCCATAAAATAGAGATGTAATGAGATTTTAATCTGATCATACCATTTGTACTCTGAATCACTTCCTATTATCTCCTACTGAATTATTACTGCTCCTTCTTTCCAGGAGCCAGCTCTCAAAACCAGAAATCATGATTGCTAGAGTTGCCTCCTAATCTGATGGTCATAACTTGATTGCTTCATACTCTCTATGCCCCAGCAGCAGAACTCCCCTGAGGTGTGATTTGTCAGGTAACTTTTTTCATGTGCTGCTTCCATTTGCAAATGGATGCAAAATGCTTTGTCATGTGACACACTCTCTCCCAAGTGACCAAATCAGTTTCTGCCCAAACTCTTAATAAGCACATATGAAATTATATATTTTCTTACCATATCACATCTGTGTTATCATGTGTAAACCACCCACCCTGGAATGAGGTGCTTGCTTTCCATCCACAGAGGAAAATCTCAACACTATCACTTCATATGAACTGTGACATAAAATTTCAGTGGCACACACTGAGATTCTGTGCAGACATCTTCTGGTCCACAAAGTCCTCTGTGTGCCCTCTGCAATTCCATGGCTGAAATAAGTAAAACCAGCAGTATCTTTCAACAAACTACTTCAGAGAGGAATCCTTAATAATGTTGTGATTTAGCTCATTTTCTAGATCATATACTGTGGTGTGTGATTGGATTACAGCTAAAAAAGATTGGCTTTCTGGTTTAAGAGAATCTGTACCTCTGGAACAACATGAGGGCATTTATTTCACAGATTTTCAGTGCCATATGTAGGGGCAGTAAAGGCTTTTTCATCAAAGTAATGCATTTCCTAGGAAATTAAGATTTCCATGGGAATAATTCAATTTTCCTGAGATATTTTTATTTTCCTGGGGATGGGCAGGTGGAAGAGCAAGGGGGAGGGACTCAGTGTTTGGTGCTCTCTTAAAGCACTACGGAAAGACAGTGGGAGAAAAATTTAGGAAATATTTGAACATTTTTTTAAGTTAAATTCTAGGAGAAGAATTGAGAGGCCTATAGAGTTTCCCAGGAAAAGTGTGACATTCAGGAATAAAGGGAACTTCAGAACCACAAGGAGAGAGAGGAAAAAAAAAGTAGAATATGGAAGTAAGAAATAAACTTCTCATGTTTCTATAGTCTGTTTTTCAAACTTTTAGTATATTCCCCAAACAATATTTGTGTTAGTGTCTGATATTCCTGTAGCACCATATCAGGAAAGGTGTGACTTCCAGAAGTGTGAGGAGCAGAAAAAGAAACCATCTGTTACATAGCAGATGAGTTGCCCAACAGAAGTGGAGGGAGAAATTGTCTGGAATGAGTCACCAGCTTGTTGTTTTCTGTGGGTGAAATACGAATCCCTCTATTTCATGTTATAAACAGCATTTCTTCTTCTCTCATTCTTTACCTGTTCGTGCATTTTTTGCTCCAACTTTAATTAATTTTAAAATCTGTTTTGCCTGTGAGAACTGGGCTTTTCCCTCTGGACAGAAGATGACTTTGGCAGCCCTGAGAATTCAAAGCCTATCCAAGTGTTCACTTTGGTCAGGGATAAGGCACTCCCAGTTGGACAAATTCCCTGAACAAATCTGCAGTGTGGCCTGTGATTTCTGCTCTGGAAATCAAATATCTCTTTCACGTGGCATCAGATTACAGGAGAGCTGAGCATCTTGGAGACAGGTGTTGTGCAGTCATTTTAGTATAAATTATTTAATAACAGCCTTGAGTCCCACTTATAGCAACTGATGACTTGCAGAGACAAGTAACTGCTTTGCAAACAGGAGCACAGGTTTTGGAGGCTGAATTAAATAGGCACAAAAAAGGTAAGGTAAAGGTAAGTATGCTTTTTGGCCTGGTAAAATGGTGGATGTGCTTGTGCTGTGCCCCTAAAAGGGGCCTGGAATACCCAGAAACAGGGTGTATTTATAATTGTTCTCACTTTGACATTCAGTTTTGAATCTCCTAGTAAAATACAGATTTCATATTTTCAATAATTTGTGTTTATCCTAGTGGTTCAAGGGTAATAAGTTATGGCATACTCAGCAGGCTGGTGGTTCTTTCTGCCTGAGTTCCTCACAAATACAGCGTGAGAGAAGCATTTGTTAATAACGTTGAAACTAATGAGAAATTTGTATCTATTTCATCTTCGAGCTGAGCTGTAAACTTGGAGAGATTACTCTGTAAATGCAGCTTCTGATACATTCTTTTATGATGTAAATAATGGACAGTGCATACAGTGCTATGTTTCTTCAGTATTTAGTGATGCCTTTGCTCCTGGGACACTTTTATTCTAGTTCTAAAATTGACTGATAATGATCACTTAGAGCCTGGAGTGGTATTTATCCTCTGAGTACAGAAGTCCACTGTAGTAGCTACTGACATGGAAATAATTTATTTTTTGAAGTTTCAGCTATTTTCGTACAGCCCTTCCCATGTGATTGGAAAATGAATTGTGTTGTAACTACAAAGAGGAATAAAACAGTAAAGCAGCCAGGCAAGTTGCTTTGTGTGCAGTAGAAAATCATGAGAAGAGAACAAGATGATGTGTTCTGGCAATCTATAGGCATCAGCTGAGGTACAGGAGATATAAATCAAGATTTAGATGCGTGGAAAGCAGAATTTTTTTTGTCTTAAATTAAATACAAAAGCCTGCTACTGAAATGTACTCCAAGTGGAATTTAGCTCACGCAGAAAAAAGAGCAAAAGGCCCTGTTTGTGATAGGTCCTTAATGTGAGAGAAGTGATCCTATAAGCTTTTATGATTTTCTTGATGGGAGCTTCTTTCTCCTCAGATGAGCTACAAAAACACAATTATGGATGTATTAACTAGGAGTGGGTGGATATCATGACAACAAAGCCCAGTACTACAAGTTTGACAATTAAGAAAAATGTTTCCATTGAAGGCTGTAAGTGTTTAACCATGGAGGAACAGATTTTCAATTTGTCTTCCACATAGTTTAAGACTAAACTAAGTGCCTCTGTGGAGTGAAGGATTGTGGCTACACTGGCAAGTTATGGACCCATGGGAACATAGAAATGTGTCTGCACAGAGGAACATTTGATGCCCAGCTCATCTGTTTTATAGCTGTTATTTTCAATGCCTAATTCCCTGTCTACCTTTATAAGCAATGACATTTATTTTTTCTGCACTAGGTTATACAGGTACAGCAAAAAAGCAATTACTGAAATTGGTAAAGGATATGAATTTTCCAGAGTATGATTTATCTGCTGATCTGCTTCATGCCTTCCTTGTCATTACTGGAAAAGTATCTTTGCAGTTCTTAAGTGCACTGCATTCCTTTTCTGCATTAATTGGTGTCCTGCAGCTATGAAAAAAAAATTTAAAAATTGCCTGGGAATTTTTAATCAATATTTATTACTTAAAACCACAGGAAATGGTGCAATATTTAAAAGATGTATTTGGGTTTAGGGATCAGAAATAATTCAGCTCCAATGCATTCATTTGCAATGATTATGTACATCTGTTTTGAGAGTGTCTCCAAAAACCACTGTGAACTGTTTTGAGATCATTTTATCTGGAGCTGGACTAAGAGAAGTGTTGTGTTTTGTGCATCAAATGCAGAGTTGCAATGACTAAACTACTGATTTGAAAAACAAAAAAAAAACCTGGAGTAGTATTTTGAAGATATGAATGGTTGCTTTCTTTCAACTGTTTTTGTTTTTTGTTGTTTTGTTTGGTTTGGGGGTTTTTTTTAAATACTATTCCTGATGCCACTTTCTCAAGAGTTCAGCTCTGAAGTGTAATTTAGACTGATTTTATATTATGTTTCCCAGGAAATCTCCAACAGAGTTGAGGAATTTACGAAGCTTCTTGTAACTTTAATGTTTATTTTCAGAGAGCACTGTGCTTCATTCAAATGGGATCTATACAAACCACAACATGGTTTACAGGTAAGTGCAAAAATACTCTTATGCTAAACACACTGGAAGTTCTCAAAAGCAGAATGGGAAACATTCCTATTGCATGCTCAGTTTCCTATGGCCCAAAGTTATCAGATAATTAACTTTTATACCAGGCTGTGTACAGCAAAGGCATATTTGGCCCCAGCAAGGTTTGAGTCTATAGAAAATCTGAGCTGCACTTCTTGGAATAAATTCCCAGTCCTTAATCTTTTAGGTTTCTTCTGGTGTCACTTTTCCTTTCCAGCATTTCCTGTCCTGCAGGCTCGCCCTGGTATAGACCATCTCACAGGAAATGCTCCCCCAGCTCTAACACCTCCTGTGCAGAAGGGAAGCTGGCAGCTTCCCTCTCTTTTGGGAAAACCAAACTGCTCTTTATTGCACTGGTGCAAACCCATCTCTGCTGGAAGAGCGGCTGTGCAAGGGTAGCTCTGTTAGGCTGGGCTTACCTGGTCAGCTCTGTTAGGCTGGGCTTACCTGGTCAGCTCTCCTGTCCTGAGGCAGAGCCCAGAGGAGCAGAGCAGTGATGCTGGAATCCTGCAAGGCCATTATGTAGGAGCAGGCTGACAAAAGTCCACAGGGCAGGAGCCACACCTAGAAACAGAAAATAACCTCTTAATAAGTCATATTACTTGAAACTTTAAAATTCAGCAGGGTGTTATCAGATGTGCCCTAAGTTCTGACCTTTTTTCATCATTTATGTTAGGGACACCTTTTCTTCCTTGAGGAACACCTTTCTTCAGTAGGTGCTAAAAAGGAAGAGTTTGCAGTTGTGGTCTGTTGTCTTCCAGAAGGCTTAAATCAGCATTCCTGATGACCTCTTAATTTTGCATTAATTATAAACGAATCTGTATTTGTTGTTATATCCCTGATTAGAACCAACTCATATGGTGCTAATATGACCTCCACAGAGCTTATAAATAATTCAGGATGAAAGCAGTATTTGTTAATCAGCTACTGGGTTTATCTTTCTAAAACACAATTTCAGGTTAAGTACATGCTCAGGAGGAGCTATCCTGTCACATGTGGAAAAAACACAATCATTGAAAGGCTCTTTTCATTCTCTTTAGTTTTCAAGTGGCAATTTTTAGGGGAAGCTACAAGGTGCAAACAGGAAGCCATTCAATCAGTAGCAACTGATACTCACTGCTTTATTTTTTACTTATAACACATAAATATGGGGGAACAGGTGGCTAATGTACTGTTAGAGCAGAGGAGAAGTGTTTTCTTTGCTGTGGCTCGTTTCCTGTTGTGAAGGCATCAAACTCTTCAGTTTAAACAGGCAGAGGAGAAGCTTTATGCAGGGCCTGTGACTTTGGCACCAGCAACCGGCTCTGCTCTGCTGCTTAGCACCTGGAGACCCAAGGAGTGAAAAATGATTCCTGGATTGCAGTTTGGCCAAAAATGCTCACAGGAATAAGTAATGCAAGATTGCCTGGAAACCTAGGCACAGCCTTGTGTCTCTTCTAAGCTCTGCTAAAACCTCTCAATACCAGCAGCACAACTGGATACTCTGTGCTCTCTCTTAGCACAAATGACTTTTTCCCGAGGCATCTGCAGTTAAAATGTCTTTTTATGGCCTGTGACCCCAGTGAAGATTCAGACATCAGTTGAGCTGTTTAGATCAGTGCTTCAGGGCAGGCAGTTGTAAGAGCTTTTTCCTGGCTTTCTGTGGGCTCTGGTTTGTTTATGACTTCAGCTAGCAGCACAGTTTGTCCCTCCAAGCTGAGCTTGTGTGTTCATCCTGCAAGAAACTCCTGGCATATTTGCAGTGGGAGGACTACAGTATGCAACTGGTTGGTATCCTCTTCCAGGGTGTTTAAATTCAGATAAAATTTCAAGCAGCTGGACTAAATACACAGAATGTGAGAGCAGCAGTTGACCCACGTTCAGGTGTCTGACTTCAGAGCCTGAGATTGCTACTCTGGGCTTCATGCAAACAGACCTGCCCCTGCTCAGCAGTGCAGCAGCCTGAATCTCACTGTTCCATTGTACCTTTCCTCATCAGGCTTTCTGGGCTTACCTGGGAGGATCCTGAACAGAATCTTTTCCCTTTCTTCCCACCTGCAGGGTTGTGCTACAACACTTGGCCACCTTCACCTTGTGCTTCAGCTATAGAGGAAAAAAAATGTTCCATGCAAATTTCCATCCCCCCCCCCAAGAATTATACCCAAGCCCATTTATAATTCAAAGTTTTCTTTTGATGTAGGAGAAGTTAAACCATACAAGTTTCTTTAGCTGAGATGGACACAGCATCTCACCAAATTTAGTTGGAAATCCAGAAACCTCTTCAGCAAAATTATATTGTTTACATTAGTTACTCTCCTGATTATCTCCTGTCTTGCACTTTGTGTCCAGTGACACCTCTGTGAAGGTGTTCCACACAGAAGTGGTTTGACCAGCACAACATTTGCTACAGGTCACAAGCATTTAACTTCTCTATCCCCTTACACCCTCTCCACCCTGCCTAAGCAGCCATACATATTGACAGCACAGAAAATAAAGAGGAAGTGATGTACTTTTTAAATCCTTTTACCTCTTTACCTTTTTATTCTAGAGCCACAGCTAAAATGGAAGTAGGAGGGTATTTATGGTACTTCCTAAGCCTCTTAGGTAGATCTGTTATTTATGCATCAAAAACTAGCAGAAAAAATATTATCTTGAAGCCTCTGATTGTCCTCTAGGGGCTGTTATTTTCTACTACATGGTATTTAGCTTCAAGCTGCAATTGCCACCCTCTGGAGAATCTCATCTGTCATTTTCATGAGTGAAGTGCATTTCTAGCTTTCATGACTTATGGTGAAAAAAAAAAAAAGTTAAAAGCCTTTCAATGGAAAAGTTCCACAAGCAAAGTGAAAATATTAGTTTCTTTATAACATCATGTTTTAAATTTTATCTTAAACCAAAACCTGTATTTTTAATAAGTGGGGATTAAGTGTTGGCAACAATATGGCAGGACTGGATGACAATAAAAGTTTTCAGCTTCTCACACAATAGCAATTATAAAAGCTATTTAAGAAATATTTCAAATGTATCTGCAGTGCTGAAGTGTATTATATATATCACTTCACTGAAAATTGTATATTACTCTTTGTCTCAGTTACTGGGAGCTCTCCAGTGGTTTCGAATGAGGCAGTCCTAAAGTTTATTTTTGTCAAATACTCTCAAAATTGTCCTGAATTTGTTCTTTATTCTGACAAACAGTGTGAGTTGTTGAAAATATAATAGTTTACATCATTTATCTCTGTTAACAATAACAAAGTATATTCCTCAGGAAAGGTAAAAAAATATAAAATATGTCAGTGATTAAACAGTTGGGCCCCATTTGTGTGGGAAAATAGATGCCAGAGAAATGCAATGTACTACTGGCATGGTGACACTGGTACCAAAACAGGAGCACAGTTGTTCTGCAGGTTTTGAAAACTAAATTTTATAAGTTAATACTTAAAATCACTTCAGCTTTAGAGGGTTGTCCACAGGAGCAATGGCAATGGCCTGACCCTGTGGCAGAGACACTCCTTTGTAGCCAGCACAGGGTCCCACACAGCTGGGCTGTGCACAGGGCTGAACACAGGCACAGCTGGGGAAAAACTGTTTTCTAGCTTGGGACCCTGAGATGTTCTGGTAAGGCAGACAAACAATGAGACCACATGAAAAATGAGCATGTTTGAGGAGTTCTTGTGTACATTCCCACTCCTAGGAAACAAGCACACTCCTGTCTGCCTAAAATGAGTCCTCAAATCCAAATAAAAGTGCCAAAACTAATTTATAAATAAATACAATTAATACTCTCATTATACTATAAAATATATATTTTATATTAGAATATATAGCTGAAAATATTATTAATAATTGTGTGGAGTTTTTCTTGCTTTACAAACAAAAATAATGTTTAATCTTCAAAACTTCATATAAAACTACTATAAAGGCTGTAAGGGGTGACCCCCATGGAATAACAAAATGATATTTTATTAGTTAAGTAGTTGACATTCGTGGTTATTACATTTCTCAGAGTTATTAAACATTCTCTTTGATTTGTCATTCAAGTTAAGTCTGCTGTGTTTTAATAATCTACTAAACTATTTCAGTTTGAATCATTTTGGCCTCAAGCAACATTCAAGATCTTCCCCTCTCTTGAGAGAGAATCTGAGGGTGTAGAACTCTGTTCATTCCTGTTTGTTTTATTTCTATTTCTTTGAGTCTTCATCTGTTCCTTGTTTTTATCTATTAGCTGAACTTCAAGGGGCTTTAAATAGAGCTTTTCTTGTTTACCCTTGCAGGAACCTTCCAAGAATATTTCTGCAGCGAAGCCTCTGCAATAACTGCACCTTAGGTAGTTTCAAGCCAGCTGAGATGTATCAATCCCAGGTAAGGAGATTAATCTGCTTCCTTGGGCACTGACAGCCTTTCCTTTGCACGTCAGCCCTGCAGCTCAGTGCAGCACAGAACCCCCAGGTGCAATTGCAGGAGCTGGGTGGATGCAGGGCTGGGCCTGACCAACCCATCAGGTGCTCAGGAGATCTGCTTTGGGGGGAACTGAAATGATGGAGTACTTTCTAGCTGACTGCTATAAAATTATTCTCTGCTTTTGCACAAATTGGGATCTAAACATGTGCAAAAGAAGCAGATTTGGTATGTTAAGCTCCATGTGCTTCCAACAACATGTCAGCTAAAACACAGAGAATTTTGTGTTCACCCTCACGAAAAAATCTGTGAAAAATAGAATTCTGTAATACCTGTTATCTTAATATTCAGCTCATAACAGCAATAAAAGCCACAATAGGTGGTGTTTGCTGAGAATTCATGAATGGTTGTGTCCCTTCAGTAAAATACAAAACAGATTCATTTCACTGTGATCACCAGACCTGAACAGCAGCTTGGTGGGTTTATTATTTTCCTTTGCTACTCTGTATTTTCTGCTATGTGTTTTCAACCACAAGTTTCTCGCAAGGACTTTCAATTTCTATTGCAAATAAAACATTGCCAATGCTTTTGGATACATATGTTCTAACACTTATCAGTGAGACATTACACAGCCATTTCCCAGCAATAACAACATAATAAGAGCTTGGCAGAATTTTTTTTTTTTTTCTATCAGCAGGCTTGATAATTTTAAATTGATAACAAGAGCCAGGTGGCTATTCATAAGGGCAAGATATGAATTGCAAGCACACGTTTCCAAGGCAATGCTGGCCAGTGGCTGTTCAAGCATAAATTGCTTCCTATTACCACTTTTGATGGGAGGTAAATGGTCCAGTTCATCTCTATGGGAACACAAAGTGGCAGGACACCTCCAGCATTAGTTTTGCACTGTTCCCAGTGAAAGAAGGCAATGTTTACTCCACTGTGACACACCTAACTCTGACATTGCAGTGAGTAATTTCCTTGAGCTGTTGAACAAAGATTAGGAGTCATGCCCCATACTGTTCTGTAGTATTCCTGTAAGAGGGCTGCTTGCTGCAGAGGATGCAAGGGGAATTAGAGTTGGTAATGTGTCCTACAGGATAAAAAGGTCAATTGATGATCTGAGGAAAAAAACAGGATTCCTAAGTGATCCTAGGAATAATATCTTTTTAAACTTTAGTTATTATAGCTCAGAAACAGGTAAGAAACAGGCCTGAAAACATTACTAGGTTGTGAATTTAGAGTGAAACATTTCTGGTTTCTGTTTGTTTATGAAAGGATAAGACAGAAGCTGATTAGAGTATGGTCCAAATTTTTACTAAACCTAGATAAAGAATATGGGAAGGGAGAAGGGAAGAGCACTTGTCCTGCCCAAAGAAAGGAATAAGGCTATGTCTAAAAATCTGTTATTGTCAAAGCAAGAGTTGCTTGATGCCTTTGTTTTAATGTGCTCCAGTTGATATTCTCCTTTTTTAATTCAAGGAATAGAAACAATAGTTCAGTCAAAATTACTTTAATCTACAAACTTGCCTACTATTTTCAGAAAACCCAAGAGACCACTTGATATCCGTAATTTAAATCAATTATTTAAAGTATATGAGAGAGAAGGAATTTAATCTCATGTGAAAGCAAAGCCAAGTAGTTCTGTTAACATAGGCTTAACTTGCAGGTTCTTTGGCAGGAGAGAACCATTTTAAAAATTTGAAATCTTGTCACCTATTTTCTTGATAGCAAAGTTTGAATTGTTTTTCCTAGAATAGAAAATTGATAGATTGAAAGGGATTTGGGTTAGGGTTAGGGTTCAGTTCAGTCTGGTGAAGCCAGCTCTTTAAAATCCAATGCTCCAAGCTCTGTTCCCCATATGTGCTTGGGAAGTCATTATCTATATTCAGTATTCCTTCTTTTTTTCCATCCACCTGTGTACACTTAGATGTAAAAATCTCCCTGGGATGTTTTTCCTCCCATTCCTGCATCAGTGTGCTGTAAATTAGCATACAAACTATTTTATCAGTGTTTTTTATTTTCCAAAGGCATGGGACTGTTGAACTTCCCATATTTTTGTTTGGTTTTGTGTCAATAAAATTGAATTTCAGGAGGGGAGGAGGTAACACTTCACCTACTGTGTTGTTTCATGACATAAGAGGTGACATATGCTTAGTGCCCTGTATTTCTGATGAAGTCTTAAGCTGATGCCAATGAGCCCTCTTAAAGCTAACTATAGACACTTAACTCTGTATGATTTAAAGCTCAGCAAATAAATTACAGTGGAAATACTAGAATACAAATATAAAAAGTGATTATTGTTTTGAAAGAGGTAAACATGGAGAATTGACCACACCTGCTTACCACACAGATGCTGTACCAAGGACTTGCTCAGAGAGTCAATATCAGGAACTTGCAGAACAGTGACAGACTTTAAATTATTGTCTCACTAATTGCTAATATAAACTAGCAAGGCTGTACACCACTATTTTATGTGAAAGAGCACAGCATAGCTTTACACAGATCAGGATATGCTAAGTTACCATAATCAGTTAGTAATCAGCTCACTTCAAAACAGCAAAATAAGGAGTTTACCTTGTGTTCTGAAAATGAGAGGCTTGAAAGCTGCATAAAATTAGTTCTGGTTCTGAAACCCTCTTGGCAGTTTTTTGAGGGTAGCAGAGCTGTTATAAAAAGAAGCAGTCCTTTTGGCTACATCTTGAAAATCAGATTCCATTTGCCCCCCTAGTTCTTTACTGAGAATTGAGCAGGGTTTGGTTTTAATCCACTGGCAGCACATAACTTTTAACATTCTTATGGTTCTTCCTAATGATAGAAAGAGGCATGCAGTACCTGGGGTCCACTGAAACCATTAGAGTTCCCTGGCCAAGCTTTGTGTGTGTTTCCCAGCTAAAGGCCTTCAGCCATTACCACACAGGTTTACATGCAAATTTCAGAATTCCCATCCCAGCTATTCTACAGGGGTGCTAGGTTGCACAAAAAATATTTACTTTCTTTCTTCCTTGTTTGAGTATGTTTGTTTTCCCTCATTCTCTGCTGCATAACTAAGGAAAGTAAATCTAATGACTAAGTAATCTCTCACATTGGATTATGTTTTAGATTTCTTATCAGATTCCATTGTGTAAGTATGATCTGACTCATGGGAGAACAACTGTTATCAAATGTATCTTTCTTCAAAAGTTTTACCAAAAGATAATAATAATTGATAAGGTTTTCCTAGATCATAAGCCATGTTTTGCTCATGCCACACTTTCATAAATGGATAGAGATACGCAAATAGAGCTTTACTGATGTCCCTTTCTAATTGTTTTCAATTCTTTAATTTTCTTAGAAGAGAAACTGTGTTAGGTGGAGGAAACAGTACAAATCTCCAGAGACTTATCCTGTCCATGTATTAGAGCTGTATGTATGTGCAATGATGCAGCAGAAAAAGTAGCCCTTACAACTGTTGCAGAGTTGCCTAGAAACTGGATCTGCTGAGATTTTGATCTGGTAACATTCCCAATAACTTGGGCACCTAGTAATTTAAAATATTGCTTCTCAAAATCTGGATCCATTAAGTTCCATCTTATTCTGGAATTGAAGAAATTTCCTATGTGCCCCAGAGGTCTGCTGCCATCCGGAAACAGAACTCCCTGTGTCTTTGACTGGGCTCAGTTGTCTGGCATCTGTGCTATTTCCAAACTGCAGCAAGAATTGGAAAAAAATATTTTATCTGTTGGGTACTGTCTAATCCACATCTTATGCATTCAACACCAGTTTTATACATCTACCTCATCTGGACTACAGAGAGAAAGAGTTTCCATTGGTGGTGTGAAAGCACTGATCTGCATTCAGAGCTCTGCTGCCCATCTGGTAGAGAAAGGAATGAAGACAAATTGTCTAGAACATTCATCTGTGAGTGTTAACTGATCATTTACTAAGAAAGAAACCTGCTACATCCTCAGTTTGCTGTTTGTGGGGGGTTTTGAGATGGAGAACAGGCCATGCTGGGTGCTTTGAACTGCAGGACAAGGCTCACAGTTGTGAATGGAATTGGATGTAAGTGCTTGCACTATGTCTAAGGGGAATCCTAAATGTATCTTCTGCTTGGGTATTTTATCTTGCCTAGGTCAGCCAGTTGATATTAAACATCTCTAATTGCTGCGCAGAGAGCCTAAAGATGTTAGATTGCAACTGTGAATCCTGCTGGAATTATTCAGAAAGAATAACACTATTATTAGGGATGATGACAAAACTTAAACAGTTTCAGTGAAATGCAAATGAAAAATAGGAAACATCCTATACTTAAGAGACCACAGCATAATGACAAAGCTCAGGAGATCTGTGAAGCTGAGGTGTTTCTATCTCTCAGGTGAGGAACAGATGTGTTGGAAAAACATCCTATACTTAAGAGACCACAGTATGGACTGACAAAGCTCAGGAGATCTTTGAAGCTGAGGTGTTTCTATCTCTCAGGTGAGGAACAGATGTGTTGGCTTGCTGAGGTTTATAAAACAAACCCCATCTAGGATCAAACATTCTAGAGTAGAATGCAGAAGGAAGAAGGAGGAACCAGAAGGAAGTTACAAAATTCTATTTATTTCTGGGAAACAAGAGGAGCAAAACCTCAAAACCTCTGCTTTCCTTCTTCTTTTTTTTTTTTTTTCTTGAAATAGATGTCCATTTGAGAATTTTGTGCATGTATACAGATTTTTTCCAAGATCCATCTCTGACCAAGAGAGGATCAGCTATCTTGTGCAAGAGAGACCAGAATGTGCATTCTAGCACATAGGTATAAAATTATATTAAGGTAAAATAAGTACATCAGATACAGAGAGGGGATGACAGTTTAGAATTCTGATTACTGGGTCAGACTATCTGAAAGGTACCAGGCTTCCCTAAGATTAATCACAAGAGCATCTTTCCTTTTACAAGAACCACTGGTGGTCATCTGCCATTTTTTGCTTTTATAAAACAACAAACAATTTTAAAATATGACCTAGAATTGCTGAAAGTTACTTCACATTTTTATATCTTTTGTGTCTACAAATCTGGAGTTATCTGCTAGTTCTGGATTGCATTTTCTACAACTTTGGCTTTATTTTATTAAAAAAAAAAGAAAATTCTCAACCCTTAAAACTGAGCTCAGTATTTGCATAACAAATATGTGAGCAAAACTGAAAAAGCTGATTCGTGGCCTCAGGATCTAGTCTCCACTTCAGCCATATCATTTAACAAACACCACACTATATAAAGGGAATTTGTGTGAACTGCTTTTTGATTTCATTCTGAAGCAGAAGGGTAAGTTGAATTTCCTTTTAATAAATCACAAAGAATTTCAGCTAGAAGGAAAACCTGTTCCTTTTGATTTCTGTGGTCATATTTATGCTCTAAAATTAAATTTCCCTTTATTAGTAATTTTTTCCTTTGCTTATACTAGCAATTTTCATAGATAAGGAGATGCCTGAAGGACACTAGATAATAATGACTGATGAAGGTCATTAAAACTGGATTAAAACTGAAGGGCTGTGTTTTTTCAGTTTTGCTATATAACTGATCAGGAGTCTGACTCTGCATCATAATCCAATTATGAGCTGGATGCAGGAGTCCATTCAAACGTAACTCCCTGAATGATCATCACCAGGCCAAGGGTACATGCTGTAATTGCATTTCCTTATCTCAAGGATGTATTCCCAGCCACCTAAGGTAGGTTTCTGTTAGGGTCTTTAATAATCTGCTCTCCCCGAGTCCCTGGCCAGTGTTCCCAGAGGTGTCTGCTGGCCTTCAGTAAAGGGCAAACCACTCCAGATCCTTCAATTCAACAAACAACATCAACAGCACCTTTAGTACTGCACATGGGCTCTCAGGCGGATTTGATTTTACATTCTTCAAAGTGCAAATTGTTGACCATACTGCCACTAGTTAAACAGAGCCTATATGCTGCAAATTTATGATGTAATTGAATATTCCTGTAATTCAAGGGTATGTCACATCAGATTGATGTTGATGAGACATTCCCCTAGAAAAACAAGTTGCTGTTGATGCAGATTAAAAATAATCTCAGAAGTTTTCTATATCAGAGTCAATATGGAAGATAAAACAATGCTTTTTCTTTTAAAAGCTCACCTCACTTAGTAAATTACACTAGACTGATATTTTGATTCTGCTTGGCATATATATTTTGAAATGTAATAGCAAACACCTTGTTATAGCTTGATGAACCTAAGTGTTCATAATTTTACAGCATTCAAGCCAACCAAGCTTTTATTTTCAGTTTTAAGTGGAGCTAGATTAGAACCTAGTTTGTGTAAATGCTGATTTTTATTTATTTTTTTTTTAAGATGGAAGTTTTTGAAAGAGCAGGTACAGGATCCTCTTTGATTTGTGCCAATAGAAAAGTGAAGTAATGGATATTAAGTTACTTGTTTTGTATGAGTCAACCCATGAGAATCACCCCATTGGAAATAGATACCTCTGATTTTTATTTTTTTTTAACATGGACGTTTTTGAGAGAGCAGGTACAGGATCCTCTTTGTGCCAATGAAAAAGTGAAGTAATGGATATTAAGTTATTTGTTTTGTATGAGTCAACCCATGAGAATCACCCCATTGGAAAGAGATACCCATTCTGGCATCTTGAACCTTTCTTTATGTCTCCTGTTAGTTTAACTGAATGATGTCAATAATTGGATAGTTCCATGCCATAGCATCTTACAGTCCTTCATGTTTCACAGCTGCAGAGCACATCCACTCACTCTGCTGTAAACAACCCACAATGTACAGTTTTAAAATGCTTTTTAGTCACAATAGCTCAGTACTAAGATTAAAACCCTAGTTATTATGTAGGGATAAAATAAGATGAATAAGCCTATTGCCAACCAGCAAAAATGCATTTCCTACAAGATTAACTGACATTTTCAAGCTTGTGGAATTTTGTTCAAAACAGGATAGGAATGTCAATTGAGCTATAAAGTTTTGCCCATGTGTAAAACAGCATCAGTTTATGCCAAATAAATGTGCTTAGACAGTGTTGTGTTTAACAAGCTCCCAAACATTAGCAGCACCTCTGTGACAGATCTGCCTTTCAGGTTAATACCCTGTGCATCATTGGGTGATTACAGTCCTTGCAGACAGCTGATGGCTTAAGTGTGATCAGTTACCTCTGAGCCTATCATTTCTCAAGGATTAATCCAATAAATAGTCACTGATAGTGAAAGGGATAATTCATCTTCACTACTCCAAGTTTATCTGTCTAGAAAGAGTTTTGTGTATAAGCTACACAATTGTTGCAAAATAAATCTGGGAAATCTCTTACACCTGAACTACAAACTTTATTTAAGCAAGAAAATAATGTAAATTTCAAGAAGGGATGAAGTGGGGAGGAGTGTGCAGCTGTATAAACTAATGTCTACAATTTCTTACAGAATCATTACCTGACAAACGTGGAGGTTTTTTACAGCTGGCCTGAGAAATCATGTTACCTTACTCATCCCACATCCTCATAGCACTGGCTGCTTTGTTAGTGACTTGCCAGGCATTGAGTAAATGCCCAGGAATTTCTGGGCCACCTGGTATGCCTGGAAGGGGTGGTCTGAAAGGTAAGCAAACTTGCCTCTTTTGGAAGAGACCCATGTCACAAAGGCTGCAGGGCTAGAACAGATAACACAGAAGGACACCTGCTCTCAAGGAAGCAGATGTGTTAAGCACAGGAAGGAAAAGAGAATGGAAGAAATAGGCAGTTTAATTTTTCCTAAAAAACAGATCTCCTCTCTTTTCTGGGGGAAGAAATACTCTAAGATATAACTATTTTATAGGTATGTAGAAATGCTTTCTCCAGGTCTGCTGACAAGGCTAAAGCACTATCAGAATTATTCCCAGACTCCCTCTATTAGGTCAAATATGGGGCTTTTTAAATGGATTGTGAAGTTCAGTAAGAGCTGCAATGTTGCTGGGGATGCAGCAACCTTTTGTGCTTCTACATTGCTGTGTGTTTTAGCTGTGAATTGTGGATTATGATCAGGAGAGTGATCATTAGTGTCTTTATTCTATGTGCAGGACCTCCTACCTGTGGAAAGTGGTATGAAAAAAAGAATCCACCTTTACAGTGGGTTCCCATTTTTAGCAAGCAGTGCTGGATGTATTTCACAGTATCCAGACGCCTTCCACTGCCACTGTCTATGGCTCCCATTAAAGCAAGATAAACACCCAGCACTTTAAAAAGAAAATCACACGGTGCCACAGAAACTGTTTCCTCCTCAAAGCATCCCTCATGCCTGTCATTACCAGTTACTAGAATGAAACCTCTCTTTGGCAAAACCAGTTTCACAGATAATCTAACAAAAGGCTTCAACCTGTAGAGCTTCAGTTTCTTTTCTGCAGAGGGAATTATCAGTGTTTCGAAGGATTGGATGTTTTTGTTAGTTTGTTTTAATACAGATTAACAACAATGTGAAAAAATACTGGAAAAAATATTTATTTTACACTTGCTGATGTTAAAAAATACATTTGCAAGTTAGTTGTGGAAAATAATTGGTTTTATTCAGGGGATTGTTCCTAGCAGCACAGCCTAGTATAACTGTCTAACTTTTGTTTTTATCTGTATAGGTCTGCCTGATTCTCTGGCCAGCAAACGCCATGATGCTTTAGCAAACTTGAAACACCGACTTTTCCAACTTGAGGCTGGTAATTCTTCCCCTTCTTACATTTTCAGCTCACAGTCAATTTTAGTGTAATAGGCAAAGTTAGTTACAGAATCATGACTTGCAGGAAAGAAATTGCATTTAGAAACTCCATTTTCTCACTCAAAGCAGGGGAAGTCAGGGTTCTTACTTCCCTGGAGAGAAGCAGATTCCTCTTGGCAATCATAATGCACATTTATTCAAATTTGGTTTATTTTTAAAAATATTCCAACTCCCTGTTGTTGCACTTTCCACAAGGATTCATGGAAACTTGGTCTTGTACCACTTTTATCTATCAGCAACCAGATTGTTAAAGGTGGTAAATTATTTTGTACTCAAAAGGGATTCACAAAACAATTATAATTTTTCTGTTTCCCTTGCTCAAATCTGTAGCACACTGATCTTTAGAAAGCACACAAAATATAACAGGATTGATATTTAGCAGATGTTGGTGGGACATTCTTGTCTTGGAGACAAGGACAGATGGTCACGAGCAGCAAAATATATTTAGTGAACAGTTAGTGAATGGGTAAAATTAAAGACCTTTATGTCTCTTCATCCTTAGCTCAATTTTTCCCTCTGTTCCTCTTAGCACTTTTATCTCTTGATATCTCTTTGCTTTTACATCAGTATGCCATGGAAAATTTACAAAGCTAACTCTTTTCATGTTTCAGTGCTTGCTTTGAATGGGAAAATAAGAAAAGTAGGAGAGAAAATACTTGCTAGCAACGGGAAGAGAGCTGACTTTGCATCTGCACTACAATCCTGTGAAGAGGTTGGAGGAACTCTTGCAGCTCCCAAGAATGAGGAGGAGAATAAAGCTGTTATGGACATTGTGAAACAGCATAACCAATATGCTTACTTGGGCATTAGAAAGGGGGAGACCTCAGGTCAGGTGAAGTATATAAATGGCATGCCTCTGAGTTACAGCAACTGGCACCAGCATGAGCCTAATGGCAAAGAGAAAGAGAAATGTGTGGAGATGTACACTGATGGCACCTGGAATGACAAAAAATGCAATATGTACCGGCTCACAATCTGTGAATTTTAAAGAATGGCCTTCCAGCCACCTCAGAGTGTGGAGATAATGAAGTATCTGTGTTTCAGGTTGATTAAATTCTTGCAATTTCTCTGGATCCTAAAATATAAGATGAATCATATTGTGATATTTTTTAGCCTTAGGAAAATGCCAAATGTACTAGGTGATTAACATGATTAAAATGTGCCTGAACTGATGTGCCTGATGTGTTTGTCCCTTTTGGAGGATTGGAAATACCTCAGAATTCATTTCTCATGACAGACTGTCTCCATACCTTTGTGAAGATTAGAGAAAAATTCCAAGGTTTGACTGGGGAGATTGGAAATGCTGAAGTTGAAATTGCCCGTGGTGTCATAGTTGGAATAATTTTGAAGTACTTAATAGTTTCTGCCTTAAAATAGATGCACAGAGGCTGACTTCACTGGAGCAATTATGGTTTCAGGTTTTGGACATCACTTTCAATCACTGAGCCTGTGTCACATTGAACCACTCGCTGATTCATTAGCATCCACCTTTTGTTTTATACAAATACCAATAATAGTAGTTACAATTAATTTTTCTAGTTTCAGAGGCTACTCTCTATAAAACACAAAGATAAATATTGCACTCAGTTCAAGTGGATAGAGTGCATAAAATGCAAAAGATTGCATTTTGTTGCTAAAACAGCACATTCCCTCAGAAAACCATGAGACTGCAGTGTTAGAAGGCCACCTGTCTTTTCCCAAAACACTGAGCAAAGCAGATAATATTTTGGGAAGGCAGCTAAGAGTGGAAGTTCAATCAGTTCAGACACAAACATCTCTGCTGATGTTATATACCAAGCATCAGAACAGACTGACTTTAACTCAGATCTGGTAGCACCAGAAGCAACATTTCACAGAATATTTTCACTGCTACTCCGTTTGGGCAGCTGGTGAGCAGGGCAGCTGAGCAGAGCACCACCAGCAGCACATTCTCACATTCTTACCTTGCACAGAGGAAGCCCTGGGCTCATCCATCCTCATTCACACACTACCTGCAGGGGAAAAAAAAGAAAGTACTAGCTTTAAAATTCATGTATTAAACACAATCTCCTGTCCCACATTTGGCTCTGTGCAGGAAGCCCCTGGAGCTGGACTTGACTCCGGGCAGTCCCAGCTGTTCAAAGCCTCCCCTGAGGAAGAGGGGGTAGGGTCTTGTCCCCTTCACTGCAAGCCCTGCCAAAATTTTGGCAAGGGATGATTCATCTCCCAAGTTTCATGCAGCACTCCAGCTGAGAAGAGAGCAGGCAGGCATTCTGAAGTGGAAAAGGTACCCCCAGGACCACGCTGGACAGATTTCAAAGTGTAAACCTGCTTTCCAAAGCAGCTTCTTTTGAGACCTGTGACCATGACACCATTTCAGCCAAAAGTTTCAAACAGGAAGGGAATAGAGCCATGACAACTCTACCCCTGTGGTTACATTGAGAAAAAAAATAAGGCTAAATTTGTATCTATTAATTTTCCTGGGTTTAGATCTGACCAGCTACACTAAATATGCTGGAAAGGTTTGAAGGTTTACTTAAAACTACCTGTTAAATATTAGTATTTTAATAAGCAAACCTCATTCGCAATTTTTGAGTCTAACTGTGCAGTTTCTGTGTTAGAGCAAAGTGTTTACCTGTCACAAAAAGCCACCAAAGCCTTCCCCCCAAAAATCCCTATTAACATCATCTTTTACTCTCTGAACAGGAAAAATTATATTCATTTACATATTTCTCCAACTAGTTTTGGGGCATCCTATTCCTTTAGTTAATAAAAAAAATATTTCTACCGCATTTGGGTTTGCAAAATGACTGTAGAGATCTCTTGTAAAGACTCTTAATGTGTAAAAATGTTTTACAAATGTTTTAACACCACATAACATCTATATCTAAACAGATTTATACTTCAAGACAACAGGGTGTTTTTCATCCAGTTAAGAAAAATAAGATTGTTATTTTCCTGTCACAAGCTAGTACTCATTACATCAATAAGCAAAATATCTAAGCTAGGTCTAAAAGCCCAATTTCTTTTGCTTGAGCCATTATTATTGAAAAATGGAGGAAAAAATCCAAATCAAACACATACATGGTGCTGAAAAATAAAAGGTCCTCAGATCCAGCCAGAGAACTGCTAGGCAGTACATTCCTCTTTATGGTTCACACTTGATGTTTCTTGATTATTCTTTACAGTTCCACAGAGAAAAAAGTATCCAGAAATTATTTTTTTTAATTTTAATATGGCTGGTTTTGGGTGTCTTGGTGTATAACTCTATCAATTTATACCCTTAATGGTATTTGAAACACCAGCATTTCAGTCTACTTTTTTGTGAAAGATCTGAATTCTCCATTTGTGTATTCATTTATTTTTTTTAATGGACAGGGAGGTTGGGCACATGAAGAAACAAAATACAAAGTCTACTTTTTTGTGAAATATCTGAATTCTCCATTTATGTATTAATTTATTTTTTTTTAATGGACAGGGAGGTTGGGCACATGAAGAAACAAAATACATTTTTGCTGTGTTCTTCTATGGTAATATTAAAAAAAAAAAGATAAAATCTTTCCTTAAAAGTGCAATAGTAATTCCATATGTATAATGACCAGACCAGGAAAAATCCAGGTTAGTCTTTTTTTCTTCATCTATAATAATTTGCTGCAGAAATGCAATGTAAAGTAAGATCTTTAAATCAGAAAATTAGTTACTCCCCACATGCTATAGAAGCCGTTTTCAAGAATTAAGATCCTAGTACAAGTAAAAAGATGGCAAAAATTCCAACCCTTTTGAGGCAAGTGGATCCTGGCTCACATAAGAGAAATTGAATATGGTTAATAAGGTATGTTTAACAGCAAGACTTAGGCCAAAAAAATATAGTATTTATTTCAGAGAGAATTTTCTCTGGTCTAGAGTGATATCCTCTTTTATAATGGTGTAATGTAATTAGAAGAGTACCACTCAGAGAAGCGCACACCAGCCCCTATCAATCCCCACACACGTGAAGAAATTTACCATTGATTACAGCAAACACAAATTTTTCTTATTTTTGTAGAAACTTAATTTAAAAACCCCATGGTTCTTGAGAAAACCGAGTTCCAATTCAACCTTTTGTGACCCTAACTGGCAGGATGTGACACAGGCTGGCAGGGCTCCCTTATCTTGTATAAATTATGAGCTGTACCTCAGAGTATCAGGTTGCAAGTGATCTTTCATTATCGAAGCTGAAGCATACTTTTATAAAATCCTGTTAGCCAACAGCTACACAAACACAGCTGATTTCAAAACACAATAGAGACAGGATTCTTGGAAATTACAGTAGCACCTTAAAAAAATGATAAGAGGACTGGGATGTTTTTTTGAAGTGCCTGTTAGGAAAGCAGGGTTTGGCAGACTCTGCCCCAAGGGTTGTAACCCAGCTGTGATGCCAAGTGAAACCTGGAATGAAGCTTCACCCATCTCTGCCCTTGTGGCTCAGGAGCTGACCAACACTGCAGAGCAAAGGTACCTTAACCCTTGAGCAGGCTGTGGCAATGGGAACTGTTTAACCATTAAAGAAATGAGATATTGTCTTGCTTTCTATTGGCTATACAGCTTCTGTGTTTTTTCTCAGCTGAGCTGCACCAAGTGGCATATCAGAGACATCCAGAGCCCTCCTCTTGTATCCTTCACCTAAGGCCGTGGGGCAAAATGGCAGTAGCATTCATGTGCACTGATCACAGGTAAAATGAAGACTTTCTGCTCTAAAATGCTGCTCATTATTTAATTTTTAAAAATGCCTGTTGAAGTCTGCTATCCCAAGTGTCTACATGTTGCTGAATTGCTTTTAGTGCTCAGCAAAAATAGCCTTAGCCCTGCTCTGAGAAATGGGACCTCATGTATCCCCATGCTCTGAGCTCTTCCTGCTGTTCCAGGCAGAAAAGAGTTGCTGGGCACAGTCTGACAATTATTCTGAAATGCAGAAAACACAAGACAAGGAGGAAACAAGGCAGAGTGGAAACAACAGCAGAACAGAACAAAATCAACTTAAACAGAAAATATTGCTAGGGTTGGGGGGCATATAAATACAAACAGAGAATAAGAAAATAATTTTTAAGGTTGCCTGTGAATAGCACTATGGAAGAAAAAACTTTCAGGAAACTAAGTATGCCAAGGCAAGGCTAACAAACAGTTTTATGGAAGGAGCACACAGCCGTTCAACTCTCTCTGTGTTTCTCAGAGCAGCTAAGAAAGCAGCACTGAGCAGCCTCTGTCTGTAGCAGGTTTTGCCTTTGCCTACGTACACTGCACAACACAACCTGCTCAGAATAGCCATCATTAGCTTCACTGCCACTGAAACTAGGAAACCTCTTACTGATTGATGTGGAAGCTGAAGAAAATCACCTCAATACTCAAAAAATAGTTTGTTCTTTATCAGATCTGTGTCCTCAAGTCTTGCGAGGCCTCTGTGATATGTGGTTCAAGGAAAGATCAGAAAATAGTTTACAAGCTATGGTAGTTATATAAAATAGTCTATTAGGCAATCATAAACAAGCATATTAGAAGTGAAGGTGTGTTTAAATATCTATTTAACTTGCACTATCTTATTAATATGCTGATGAAAATCAAGACAAGAAAGGTTTACAGTTTATCCAATCTACATCAGTTTTTCCTCAGGAATCTATCACAAGAAACTTTTTGTCCCCCCTGGTTTCCCAGGCCCTGAATCAGCATGTGAAACCCACAACTGCAGGCCAAACCTCCTCTTCTTCTTGTACTTGCCTAACTTGTGGTTTCTTCCAGGTGCAATTAAATGTTCAAGCTGTTCTCACCATGGATGCAAAGGGCCAGGGTCTGCCAGTAACCTTTTCCAGGGCTCATCTAGAACCCAGGAACTGGCTTGTCTCATGTTCTCTGTTTGATTTTGGTGGGGCTTTTTCCCAAAAATTAAAAAATCTCTGCCAGAAGAATGTTGAAAGCATTACATCAAACACTCAAAAGCTCAGAAACTTGAAATTTGACAAGAAACTTGAAACAAAGGCAACTGGTGCAAATTTGAAACAGCCCTCTTCTGTCAATGTGCATACAACTGGGCACTGCCTGTTTGTTTTTCACAGGACTGGTGCACTCAAGGCCACTCACTAAACAATGCAGCAGGATTTAATCCAGCACCTGTGGGTACACCACCAAGGACAAGGGTGTTGAGGCACACATCAGAGGTTGA